CCAGAAGGGCAGCATTGTTCCAGCAACAAGTCAGGAAAACAGCCTCTGATTTGTTGACAAGTCAGGAACACAGCCTCTGATTGGTTAACAAGGCAGGAACACAGCCTCTGATTTGTTGACGAGTCAGGAACACAGCCTCTGATTGGTTGACGAGTCAATAATAAAGCCTCTGATTGGTTGACAAGTCAGAAACACATCTTCTGATTGGTTAAATCAGGAACACAGCCTCTGATTGGTCAACAGACTCAACCCGAGGCCTCAGTGGATGGCTAACAGCCATGATAACAACAACAATAACCCTTTTCAACATTGAGAAATGGGTAAATAATCACAAAACACACTCAGTGTTGAATTTGTTATTATGGGTTTATTTAAGTCTCCACAAAGACAGTGCAGTTCCAGGCTGGATTACAAAGTATCTGAAAGGGGTGCGATCACACCAGAGCGCCCAGTGAAACGGCACAACCCCAGGAAAAAATGAAAGTTAGCCGGTAGTATGCAGGGTTCCCTAGATGTTTATTGTTTTATGTACGACGTCCTTTGACGTCACAAACGAAGTTGTCGACCAGAGAGCGTTAACATGGAGCTGTGAGGGTCACTGAACCAGGCTGAACATCTTCACATGGTCCACAGACCTGCTGCACTTCCATAACCACATCACTCTGATCTTCACTGGCCTCCTGTAAAGCGTCACCTTCACTTTAACAGTCTTCTGCTTATGAATGAAGCTCTAACAGCCTCGGTCCTTCTTACTTAGTCTGATCTTCCTCTGCTTTACAGACCGATCTGTCCACTCAGATCATCTTCAGCTGAGCTGCTCACCAGCCAACCTCCACAGCTTCAGGCACTGAGCTTTTTCTAGATTTGCTCCTTATTTCTGTAACTCTCTTCTCTAATCTTAAATCCCAACTCTTCTCCCGAGTTTACAACCTGCCTTTACATAGGAATTCCACCAAAATTTCAAAATTCCCCCATAACTGAGTGTTTGTGATGTAAACAGTCATTCAGAGTAATTTGGTGTGAAATGGTTGATAGTAGAGACTCAGGTGTTTATATTGTAATGTAAATAAACTGTATCTGCTCTTCTCTGAAGGCTGAGTGTAAATATAAAGGACTTGGTGCCCCCTGCTGTCCATCAGTGTAATTCAAACAAAATGTTGGAGTACATCAGTGTTTAGAGATTTATCAGACTAAAATGGGTTAAAACACACATTTCTGATTCAAATTAACATCTCAAACACATCTCACTAAAACTTTCTAAAGTAGATGTTTCTAAAGTAGAAAACTTAAGTACATTTCAAGGTAAGGTACTGCAAGGTAATTATTTATTCAGTTTCCAGTTTATTCAGTGAATAATAACCAGTTATGAATTTCATCAAAGTGTCACAGCAACAGTGACGACATAATTCCAAAGTGACTGTAATTCTTCTACAATTTCAGACAATGTTTTATCAATGTTCAGTTATATAATGTAATTAAGCGATATTCGTATTTTAGTCTTGTGAGTTCATTTTAAATTATTTAAAATGAATGTTAATTAAATACTTCCTTCCTCACAACAGCTTCTATCAGTCCATTATCTTCATCCAGACTGTCCACAGTGGAACCCAGTGAAGGACCAAATCCACCAAGATGTTTAACTGAAAAATCCGAAAATGGGACCAAATATTTTTAAATATGAACCAATATTTCTTTCAAAAGCTTTGATATATGGCGATAGTAGAACAATGACTCATCACTCTAGATTTAGGGAGAAAAAAAACTACATTACCCATAATGCAGCAAGGCACAGTAGTGTGGATCTCCCAGTTGGAGTCTAACAGGATCATCAAACGGAGATTTAATCACATTAATGATTAAACAAGACACATTTTCTGATTCTGACTCTGATAATTTCATAATCTGTGCAATATTCTCCTTTAATAACAGATTTTAATGAGTTTAAACTGCTGGTAGTTTCTCTCACGGGATTTAGCATGTGTGCTAACAGTTTCTACACAGAGTGAAAATACACTAACAGCTCAGAGCATTTAACAAGTTAACTCTGATTTACACATTTCTGTCAGAAACCTTATAAACTTTTTTGTTTTTAGAGATTTTACAGAATTTTATTTGGAAATATAACTGATTGTCTGAGTAACTGACTGATGATGAAATATATAAAGAGCATCTCAGAGAGGCGGAGTCTTTCACAAGTAAAGATGAGGAGGGGTTCACCACTCTGTGAAAGACTGCACCATCAAATAGTGCAACAATTCAAGAATAATGTTTCTCAACATAAAATAGTAAAGAACTTCTGTTTTTCATCATCTACGGTACAAAATATCATTAAAAGATTCAGAGAATCTGGAGAAATCTCTGTATGTAAGGAACAAGGACAAAAACAGTATTTGCTGGCCGTGATCTTTGGGCCCTCAGACAGCACTGCATTAAAAACAGACATGATTCTGTAGTGGAAATCACTTCATGGTCTCAGAAACACTTCTGAAAACACTGTGAACACAGCTTATCACTGCATCCACAAATGCAAGTTAAAACTCTAAAACACAAAGAAGAAACCAAATATAAACCGGACTCAGAAATGCTGCCACCTTCTCTGGGCCTGAGTTCATTTAAAATGGACTGAGGGGAAGTGGAAGAGTCCTGTGGTCCTATTGATCAACATTCGAATTTCTTTTTGGAAATCATGGACACTGTGTCCTCCGGGCTGAAGACCACTCAGCATGTTATCAGTGCACAGTTCAAAAGCCAGTATTCATGATGATATAGGGGGGCATTAGTGCACATGGCATGGGTGACGTGCACATCTGTGAAGGCTCCATTAATGCTGAACAATATATACATATTTTGGCAACATATGCTGCCATCAAGTTGATGCTTTTTCAGGGAAGGCTTTGATTATTTCAGCAAGACATTGTCCAACCACATTCTGCATGTATTACAGCAGCATTGCTCCATATTAAAAGAGTCCGGGTGCTAAACTGACCTGCCTGCAGTCCAGACCTGTCACTACTTAAAACATTTGGTGCATTATGAAATGAAAAATATGACAAATGAGACCCTGAACTGATGAGCAGCTGAAATCCTGTATCAAACAAGAACAGGAAAACATTTCACTTTCTAAACTACAGCAGTGTCTCCTCAGTTCTCAAACACTAACAGAGTGTTGTTAAAGAAGAGGTGTTGAAACCCAGTGGTAAACAGGCCCCCTGTCCCAACTTTTTTGGAATGTGTTCTATCAATTTGAAAATGGGCATTTTTAAAAATAAAAAACAATAAAATTTCTCAGTTTCAACATTTGATATGTTGTCTTTGTATTATTTTAAATTATAGGGTTTAAATAATTTACACATCATTGCAATTTGTTTTTATTTCTATTCCCCAGAACAGCGTCCCAGCTGTTCTGGAAACAGGGTTGTACTGCCATAGCAACATTAGCTGGCTTATTTGAATGATAATTCATTTAATAAAATTAGCAATAGGCTATTTCAACCTCAAAATTACATGCTAGTGTTTTAATTGAGGCAACTGAATTTGTTATTAGTTACTAACAGTTGTCATTTTTTATTAGTTTTTATTCATTTTCATAAACACTATATTAATTCCATTCAGTGCTGCTTTTCTGCAGAATGTCTGCTGGGAAATAAATGAGGTTCGAGTGTTTGAATGTTTTTCTGATATTTGTGTAAACACAAACTCTATAAACAACATTGTTTAATTCACAGTTTATATATGATCACATCAAAGAGTTTCACACACTCAGCATCCAGTCAACAGGAATAAAATGCAAAAATATAAATCTCATGTCATGAACGGTTTCATTCAGCTTGAGCAAATTTCACCAACACACACAGTAATATTACACCACTCGACACTGCTTTACAGTATAAACAGTACTATTACACTGTTCAACACTGCTTTACAGTAAAAACAGTATTATTACACTGTTCAACACTGCTTTACAGTAAAAACAGTAATATTACAATGTTTAATGCTGTTTTACAGTAAAAACAGTAATATTACAGTAATGTAACAGTGTTTCATAGTAATATTAGAGTTTTGCAGTAGTTATAACACTGACTGTGTTTATTACAGTTGGTGTTTCTGATTTTCTCAGATTTTTCTGATATGTATTTATAATCTCACTCTTTGTGTCATTTTCATATTTACGTTTTAAAGAATGGTGAAAATAAGACTTTTAGTGATGTCACACTCATAATGTACAGCAATATGTAAAATATAGTTCAGGCTTAATAACCCATAATCCATAGTGTCAGGTTCTTTATGCCGGTGGAATATAAAAATATGGAGCTTTTCTAACAGTGTTTACTGAGCTGTGGAAGTCCAGACGGGTCAGTTAACACCTGACCAAAAGGTCAGAAAGGTCAGTATGGCACAGTAATTTGGACTAAGGTCCAGATCTCGTAAAATGGAGGGGAATTTAAACTCAGACTGTGATCAGTTTCAGAAACGACTTAAAAATGTGGAATTATCTCAAAGCATGCATCAATAAACACCCGTATAATAACACATACAGTACATCATCAGGAGGAAATAAACAGGAAATAAAACCTCTACAACCTCCACACTGCAGAAACAGGAGATCAGCCGATAAGAACTGAAACTATTCAGAGGAACGAGGCGTGTTTTTGTTCAGATTTCAGAATAAAAGTCCTTCAGTTTATGAAATGCACTCCAGAAAATTGAAACTCATTTTAGTCATTTTACTTTTTCTCTTTCTCTTTTAGCAGTGTTTACGCTTTCACAGTGGTCTTTTTGAGGGTCTGCACCGGCATAATGTTCAGAATGTGTTTGTTTCAGTGGTAACATTGTGACTGAAGTCAGAGTGGACGTTACTGTGGTCAGGAGCTCAGTGGAAGCGGTCATTACAGACTGAAAAGAAGGTGTACGAAGTGCTTTCCGAGTTCTTGTTCCTCGGCTCAGAGTTCGGTTCCACTTCCGAAAGTTCACGCTTTTAAAGCGATAATTCAACCATACCCCCAGTTTCCCCCAAATATACTCTGTCAGTCAAAACACGTGTCTGCAGTTTGCTTCTCTAACGCTCATCAGACGCAGTACAGACCTATTTCAGCTTTCGTCTTAAAGGCTTTAGATGTGCTGCTTTTGTTTGCGTACATTTTGAGCAAAAATCATTTAAGCTCTGAGTTTCATTGTCTGGGTTTAATTCAATGCACTACAGGCTTCAGAGTCACTGCTACAGTTGTTAACTATGCTAATGCTAATTTTCATCCACCTTATACTTTCCCGAAATGCATTTAAAAATACGTGTGCCAATGTTTGTAGTTGATCTGAGTTCAGTTCCAATTCTGTCTAATAAAACAGTCAGATATGTTCTGGGGTGCATTTAGCATGTTAGCTTTCTGCTAGAAAAAAAACAGTGTAGACCAGCACAACTGCTCACCAGCCAAACCAGCATGCTGTGTGTTGGATGCTGGTATGCCAGTATGACCATGTTGGGTCATACCAGCATCAGACCAGCATAAACCAGCTGATACAAGTATAAAATTACTTCAGGGCTACTCTAGAGCTAGCATCACCACCAGCTCCACTCGACTCCAACAGGTGCTGGTGCTAGTTTAGCTGGCTCAGATTTGATTGACGGGTGACAGCAGGACCAAAAACAGCCTCATACAAAACCCACACTAAGAATGAGCGTTGAGTGCTAACTGGACACCTACAATGGAAGAAGAGCTCTGATCAGTTCACGACCGTAATGTTGTTGTGTCAAGTCTTCAGAGCTAAAGCTAAAGAAGCAAACTTCAGACACCAAGCTGGCTACATTTGGGATGGGGGGATGATTTTTTAGCCAATCCATCACTTTAATTCAAACAGCATAAGTGAATAAACTCTCTGCCCTGTCCTTCACCGGTCAAGACCGATCAGCAGCGGACTCTGCTCCTCCTTCTGACACTCGTTCTTCAGGTCGGCAAACACCTGAGTGAAGTAGTGTGGGTCGGAGTTGAGCTGCAGCATTTTAGCGCTCATGCGCTCGATGATGTCGAGGCAGCGGTCCCAGAACGCCTCCTTCTCTGCCTCCACCAGGAACGGCTTCAGTGGGTACGAGATCTCGTTGCCCATGTAGGAGTAGCTCAGGTAAAGGCAGGTGAGCAGGACGGCCTGCAACTCGCGCTCGCTCGACACCTCCGCCGAGATCACATCCCGGCACAGCATGTAGAGGAAGACAACGTTGGCAGGGGTGATGAAACCCTGATCCTGCCAGCCCTGCAGCAGGAGTGACCGGTCCACGCTCCGCAGCCACAGCACCGGGTCGGCAGGGGTCAGCCGCTTTAGCCGGAAACAGCGGCGGCACAGGAACTCACCCAGGCTCCGGAGCAGCTCGCTGGTGGACGCCTGCACAATCACCCGCTTTGGTGTGCCCGCGTTAGCATTAGCCTGCCCTGCGCAGCTGCTGATGGACGTCCTCTTGGCGGCGGTCACCACGCTGGTGGTGGTTTTTGATGCCGGAATGGAGCTTGCTGCCGTTTCCTGGGTGAAAGTTGACAGGTTGGCGCAGGATTGGGATTTTTTCAGATTTTGTGTGTTTAAATTCCCCACGCCGGCCTCATCCTGACTGTCGCCTGATGAAAGCTTCTTAGAACCTTTTCTCTTTGCCGAAACAGCCACGATCCGCTTCCACGGTAACACGCTGATCAGAGACTGCCGCTTCAGGTTCTTGTCTTTGGCATTTTTGCTGTTCTGGACTGCCGTGTAGTGTCCCACCATCGGAGGGATTTCATCAAACAGTCCGGCTTTACGGTAACTCGGGGAGACGGACAGGACGGTACCCATAATGCCTCTGGGGAGGGGGCTTTAGGCCAGGTTAAAATAAGATGTGCACGTCAACTTGATCTGCACCTGAAATAGAACCATCAACATCATCAAACTTCACTCGACAACATCAAGAAATTTCAATCAAAGTCTCGAGTCTCTGGGTTTTGTGTCTGAGTCAAATCTCGAGTCTCTGAGGTGCGAGTCCGAATTGAGTCTCTAAGGTCTGAGTCGATCCTCCATGGTGAAAGTCCGAGTTAAGTCTCTGAGTTAAAGTCCAAGTCGAGTCTGTGACACTTTAGCTCTATTCAAGTCTCTCGAGGTGTGAGTCTGAGTCAAGCCTTCAGTCTCTGAGGTGTGAGTCTGAGTCGATTCTCTGAGGTCTGAGTTGAGTCTCCAAAGTGTGAGTCTGAGTTGAGTCTCAAGTCTCAGAGGTGAGAGTTTGAGTCGAGTCTTGAGTTTCTGAGGTGCAAGTCTGAGTCGAGTCTCGAGTCTCTGAGGTGCAAGTCTGAGTCGAGTCTTGAGTCTCTGAGATGTGAGCCAGAGTCAAGTCTCGAGTCTCTGAGGTGAGAGTCTGAGTCGAGTCTTAAGTTTCTGAGGTGTGAGCTAGAGTCAAGTCTTGAGTCTCTGAGGTGCAAGTCTGAGTCAATTCTTGATTCTCTGGGGTCTGAGTCTGAGTGGAGTCTCAAATCTCTGGGGTCTGAGTTGATTTTTGATTCTCTGGAGAGTCTGAGTCGAGTCTTAAGTCTCTGAGGCCTGAGCCTGAGTCGAATCATTTTTAAAGTCTTGATTCTGAGTCGAGTCATGAGTCCACATATGACTCCAGTGTGAGTCTGAGTTGCTGCCTGGAGATTCGATGTCGTACTCTAATTAACGTCATTAAACATCAACATCATCTGCGGTTATGACGATTACTGTCCTTCGTGTTTGTCTGAGGTCGGTGAGGTCAGTCCGGCTGAGACCGTGTGGTTCTGGTGTTTTGTTCTGAATATAAACAGCTCTGAGTGAGGAGAGCAGGATTAAATATGTTTATTTTGTTTCAATAATTCTATTCTTAATTCACTTAATGGAGTTTGTTCATAATGAGCTGTGATGTTTTAATAAAGGATTCATTACAGAATGAAACGGAATGTGTGAAATTGTTAAAGTGATTCACTGACAAAATAAATAAAATATAAAATGTTATTTGACTCAGTATTTCTGTTTGTGGTTTTATTCTATTGAACGATGCAGCTTCGTGACAAACATCCCCATCACTGACTGACAGGAGTTATGACTGTACATCCACCGATACTGAAATGTAACAATAATAATAATAATAATAATAATAATAAAACACATACATACATACATATACATACATACATATATATGTGTACATACACGTGTGTATGTATGTATATAAATATACGTATATACACACACATAATACATGTGTGCATTTATCTATCACATACATATGTACATACAGTATACATTTATGTGTACATATGTATGTGATGTATATATGCATGTATATGTAACAAACATGTATACACACACACACACATATATGTATATACACACATATGTATACATACACACATATGTACATATATATATATATATATATATATATATACCCAATACAATTACACATATAGAACATATAGCATACAGTTTGGGTTCTTGGCTTCATAAATTTAATGAGTAATGTTCTTATTAGTGAATCAGCAGGAGTTGTAGTTAGTAGTAGTAGTAATAATAATAATAATAATATAATAATAATAACAATAATAATAATGCAGAGGCGCGTGCGAGCTGAGCTGGCCTGGAAAAGCAGAGCGCGCGCAGCATCCATCTTAGATCATCAGGAAAAGCAGAATAAGCAGATTTTGAGTGTGTTTGTGGTCGTTACTGTGGTTTATATCCGGGTACCGATGAGGGTTAAAGCGTCACTCAGCGACACTGTCAGAGCTTTAATGAAATTAATGAAATTGAAAGATTTTTCATGTTCAGCTATTTCAGAAAAACAACATGGAGCCCAGACAGCGCGCGCGCGCACACACACACACACACACACACGCACACACACACACACACACACACACACACACCACACACACACACACAGAAACACACACACACACATGGTCATAACCTTGCTTTAAATAAATCTGATCAGGTCTGATTGATTAGTTGCAGATGCTCATTAGCATAAACAGCTGATTTACTCACCGATCAGATCGATTAGTGCTGAGAGAGGCTGTGATCGATCATTATGGTGTGTGTGTGTGTGTGTGTGTGTGTGTGTTGGTCGCTGTTCGCGGTGCTGAAGCTCTGATTCCGTTTTTGTCGTTAAAGATAAAAAAGCTCGCGCTCCGCTTCCTGCACGCGGGTTATCACGGCTTCGTTCGGCAGCGCGTGCTCCTCTTCTTATCCGTCTCACATCCTTTCACACTCGTTCCGTCATTTCATTCATTCGAGCTCTTTCCGTGTCCGTCAGTCTCTCCGCTCCGCGTGTCTGTTTTGTTCGGGAGCTGCGCGCGCGTCTCGCGGTGAGATCAAAGAGCGCTGGATTAAAAAGAAACGACACGAGCCGTAAACCAAAACAAAGAACAAACAAACAACAAACAAAAACAAAAAAACACCAACAATTCAGCTCAGGGCGCTCGAGCCCTCACACACTCACACACTCTAAAACACTGCTGAGACAGAGGCGACAGACACTGCAGCCGAGCGGGGTGGGGGGGGTCAGAGCTCACTGCAGCACACACATACACACACACACACACACACACACCATCATCATAAAATCATCACCATCCCGATCACTGTAACATCAACATCACCACCATCACCAACACTATAACATCAGCATCAGCATCATCACCAACACTATAACATCAGCATCAGCATTACCAACACTATAACATCAGCATCACCACCATCACCAACACTATAACATCAGCATCAGCATCATCACCAACACTATAACATCAGCATCAGCATCATCACCAACACTATAACATCAGCATCAGCATCATCACCACCTACACTGTAACATTATCATCAGCATCATCACCATCACCAATACTGTAACATCAGCATCATCACCATGATCACCATTACCATCATCACCTTCACCATCATAATCACCATTACCATCGTTGTCAACAACGCTTTTTTATCATCATAGTCATTACCATCATTATACCATCTTACCATCATCATCGCCATCATCATAACTATCATCATCATCCCCTCATTCCATTACTGATCATCTGTTCACCTCCTCAGCAGGTTATAAGTGTAAATGATCTAAAGAGCTTCAGCTGCTCCTCTCGTTATCACTGATTTGTTTTATTTCCACTGTAAATGCAGATTACAGAATTAATCTTTTATATTTGCACAATTGTACATATCTTGCAGTTATTATTTAGTTCTTGTACTTAACTTTTTTGTCGCATTTTTGCATAATAAATGTTCTAACTTTGTTACACAAGCACAGAAGGAAAAAAAATAAAAAATTTGTTACGACAATGATTACGTTACTGAACTGACTTGTATTGAATTGAGCTTACATTAGACTTCCCATTCTCATTAACTACAACTCCCAGCATGTCACTACAGTCCCTAGTTCCGGCTAAAGAACGAGCAGCGTTTGTTTATTTCACACCTGTTTTCCGACAAGCCACGCCCCTCCGACACTGTGATTGGCTAGTTAGTTCATACATCAGAGGCACGTTCATGTGTGACGTGTAAACAAAGTAGCCAATCCGGGCGTGGAAGGGGCTGGCTTCCAGAGTAGCTCGGCTTTCGGACTCCCAGCCAATCGCAGCGCAAGAGGGGCGGGGCCTGTGTGAAAGCGGGTGTGTTTTCGTCTGAACGCGGGTGCAGTTTGGTCCGAAAGCAGGTGCGTTTTTGCCTGAAAGCGGGTGTGCTGAGCGCTACGTTGGCGCTGCAGGCGGAGTGTTGTGTGAGATGGCGGCCGCGGCGGTGGAGTTCCAGAGAGCTCAGTCTCTCCTCAGCACGGACAGAAACGCCAGCATCGACATTTTACACGCTATCGGTGCGTCCGGGTAACTTACAAACCGTTTAATCCACTTTATAAACACGGGGTGTTTCTCACAGCCACCGGGAGCGTCTTCATAAAGGAAGCTAAAAGGCTAGGTTAGCATGCTGAGGCTAACCCGGCTGCTGCTGCTGACTCACCGGCTACATCAGCTAACTGCTAACGTGCTAACTGCAAAGTCTAAGCTTTATTTTCGGCCTCAGAGGCTTTAGAAGTTCTGCGCGGATGTAGTTTTGTGTTTAATAAATTATTTGCTCTCTTATATGTAGCTACATATATGTGACGATGCTTAAGTTGGCTGCTCATTAGCTAGCTTCTGTTTGGATTTATCCGTTCCACCTTAAATAGTGCAGCAGTTACATTCTGGCGCCTCGGGCACCATTTAAGGTGGAACGGATAATTCGAATAAGAAGCTAGCGAATGGAGCTAAAGCAGACTTTGTTAAGTTTATCCGATGAATGTGTTGTGTAGGAATGTAAATCAAAAATTCAGATTTTAATCATTTGTATATTAGATTTCACTCTGTGTTGTGGTGAATATGGGTTTGTTATGAAGGCAGTGAATGTCAGAACAGTGTCTGTATTTCTGTTAGATTTTTATTGTCATTGCTGTTTATCGTCAGTGGTCAGGCTGGTGCTCAGACTTCTTTTGGACTAAACTTAGATATAAAACCTGAACCTGATCGTTGTTACCAGTTTAATAAATGAATAAGTTTTTTCTCTCATATGATAAAATATCTGTGTTGAGAATAATAAAGTACAGATTAGTAACATTTTTTTGGTGCCCAGCTGAATAGCTGGACAGAGTACTGAGTTCCTGTCTCTCTGTTCTACAGTGAAGCGTGATGTCCAGGACAGTGATGAGGAGGCCGTGCGAGTTAAGGAGCAGAGCATCCTGGAGCTTGGAGGACTGCTGGCCAAAACCGGACAGGCTGCTGGTAAGAGCTTTAGACGATTACTGACCGTCACTACAGACGGGGCAAGCCTCAATTACTGACCGTTGTTGCCGACTGGACAGGCCTCAATTAATGACCGTCCCTGCAGACTGGACAGGCCTCAATTACTGACCCTCGTTGCCGACTGGACAGGCCTCAATTAATGACCGTCCCTGCAGACTGAACAGGCCTCAATTACTGACCGCCCCTGCAGACTGGACAGGCCTCAGTTACTGACAGGTGCTACAGACCGGACAGGCCTCAGTTACTGACAGTCGCTACAGACCGGACAGGCCTCAGTTACTGACGGTCGCTACCGGCCGGACTGGCTTTAGTTACTGACGGTCGCTACCGGCCGGACTGGCCTCAGTTACTGATGGTCGCTACCGGCCGGGCAAGCCTCAATTATGGATTGTCATTACTTACTTACCGTTAATTACTGACCGTCGCTACAAACTGAACAGGCCTCAATAAGTGACCGTCACTGCAGACCTAACAGGCCTCAATAAGTGACCGTCACTGCAGACCTGACAGGCCTCAGTTACTGACCGTCGCTGCAGACCTGTCTGCTCTGAAGTTTCTGAGGCTGGAACTGAGAAGTTCAGAGTTGGAAAACTGTGAAGTCAGTTTCTCTGAAGCCGTTCAGACGTTTCTTGTTGGGTTTTTTGTTCCATCTTAAACGATGCAGCAGTTGCCATTAGAATGCAGCAGCTGCACCATTTAAGGTGGAACGGAAAATTAAAATGGACTCTTTCAGTGTGTGTAGAAGGTTTGTGCAGGTGTAACTGTGTGTGTGTGTGTGTGTGTGTGTGTGTGTGTGTGTGTGTGTGTAGAGTTAGGAGGGCTGCTGAAGTATGTGCGTCCGTTCCTAAACTCCATCAGTAAGGCGAAGGCAGCGCGGCTGGTGCGCTCCCTGCTGGACCTGTTCCTGGACATGGAGGCGGCGACGGGTCAGGAGGTGGAGCTCTGCCTCGAGTGCATCGAGTGGGCAAAATCTGAGAAAAGGACGTTCCTCCGACAGGCCCTGGAGGTACACACTCCGATTACTGACCTGTGGCCCCTTGACTCTAAAGAAAGATCCGATTATAAAGCAGTGCAGGTGTTATAACTGTGAGTGGACAATACGAGCATCATTGGAATGTATTAATAACTTGCCTGCATAACTGGCATATCTGACATTATGAGCCGTTTGAGTCATACTAGGAAAATCTACCAACAATAGGGATGCATCGATACTGATACTGGTGTTGGGTATCGGACCGATATCGCAGTCATTTACTCATAATCACAGATACTCCAATACCAGCTGGTAACGTGTGCCGTAGGCCGAGCGTACCTGTTGCGCTAATCAACAAACACAGCGAAGGAGGATCTGCTCACAAGAGGTCTGAACAGGGCAGGTTGACCCGCAGGTCCTGCGTGATCTGAATAATTTGAGGGTGGGATTCATTTTGAGGCACCACGGTCGTTGCAGGTAAACAGCGAGCAGACTGCGGCTCGTGCGGGGGGTGGGGGTTCTGTTATGGCTGGCTGAGCCGGCGGGCTTGGACAGTTAGTGGCTGCTTGTAGAAGCGAACAGGTGACAAATGAGCTGCAGAGAAAAACACGTTAGTAATCACGAGCAGCAGAACACATTAAAGATCTCTGCACAAAATCAAACCGATTTTTTTCGTCATAGTTCTTATGGTTTTGTAACCTGTGCCGCAGCCTCAGACGCCGTTTTGGCTCTAATTTCAGCTGACTTGTAGACGTCTTATGGAGTAATTAGCTAATATTTAAATGAAGATAAGACACAGATAAAAATAATGCTAGATGCGAAGCCGAGCTACTCCACTGTGTTTTTTTTTTTGCCTGTGGTGATGCTGACGGTGACATCTAGGGATGCGATGCTCAATGTGCGGTGCCATGTTTGAAGTAACGTGGCTTTTATTAGCCTAAAATGCTCAAAATATTTAAGCAGTAGAACACGAGAGGGACTGTGTTATCGCGAAATAACATCACTGTGATTTGGTCGCCGTAGATCATCACAGCCATGATGTTATTGGCGATAACACACTCCTCGAGTGTTCTACTGCTTTAATACAACAGTTAAATAAATACAGTAATAAATTAATAAACTGGGCCGTGAACGCGGCGTTTAATATGTTTTAATGTTCGCAGTTCCTTCACCAAATTATAGTTCCTTAACAAGCAGCTTGTTGCTACGTCAGAGTAACGAGCTCCGCCCACTCGCTGCACAGTCTGCTGTAAGCCTCGCCTTTTGAAGTACAGACTGAGCCATAAAACTGCCGCAATATCAAGTTCAGCTCAGTTCTGTCAGTTTTTTCCAGATCAGTATTAATGTTGTTTTGTTCCAGCCAGTCTGTAAAGCATCTTACAGCCCATTTAGTTTGGCGAATGGTGTTGGGTTCATTTCTGGCTGATTCCAGGTTGTTCAGCTGTTCTTCTGTCTCAGCTGCCGACTGAAAAGCTGCTCAGTGGTGACGACAGTTTGGGAATTTAGTGTCGTCTCATCTTCAGAGTCTGACCAAATCGGCTGTCGGTCAAATGTGATCTTAAAAGTGTCCATTTTCTGTTTGTGGCAAAGTAAGAAGTAAAAGTGTTCAAATGGCTTGAGCGTCTCCTACAGCTGTCACAGTCGTTGCTTAGCAATGGCATCTCAGCGGAGTGATACAGTATTTGTGAAAAAACGCTTCTCAACCAATCAGCTTGCGTGGCTGGAACTAGCTGTTGTATAATTCCCTTTATTTTGCAACACTGAAGAGTTTATTTGTGCGGCTGGGTTTGTGGAGGGTCTGGAGGCTCCGCCGGGTCATGAGGTTTGCATGGACATGTCCTACATCAGTGCAGAGGACCGCAAACACAGCCTAACCTGGGCAGGTGCAGGCATTAATAATCAGGCCCAGAGCTCTGAACTCTGAACAGAACTCTACTGCTCACACAGAGAAGAGTTACTGACCCCGTCACAGTCGGACACAAAGCCGTCGTTCACTTTAAACATTCTGCCTCGGCTGATTCCCACCAGGACACACTGAGAGATTAGAGACCGGTTATAAATGCACAATCACAACCTCTTCCCCAACATGGGTGGAAACACACAGGCCAACAAAACAAAGGAGAAAAAGTCGACAAGACTGAATATGAGACTTTACTCTGTTTGACTGAGTAGAATATCGAGATATAAACGTTAATACGGTGATTTTTCTGTAAATCAGGCTGCAGAGAGAACGAACTGTCCTACCGTGAATATCAGCGCCTGCTTTATCTTCAGCGCTCAGTGTTAGCAGCGCTGCTCAGCGTCTCAGCGTGCTGCTCAGTACTCGGTTATTCTGAGTGAATCAGCTTTATTGATAACGGTCTGTAGACAGAGCGGCTGTAGAGGCTGCGTTTCCCGTAGCAGGTCAGTCAGACGGAGCGTTTCGTACAGTGTGAGTTTATAAGTCGTAGCTTTGTCTGAACACGATGGTCTATTCAAACGGACAGTGAGAGTCACCAAAGAACGAGATCTCTGACATCACACAGTGTCTGTCTGGCTTTAGAGGACTCTTAGCTACAGCTCAACCAGCTAATCAAACGACTCCAACAAGACGGAAAACTGGAAGCGTGAGCTCCTCGGATGCATCAGCCTTAGATGTGATTCCTGCTGTCGCTGTGCTGCTGCTGAAAGAGACAGATGAGGATCAAAACTATGAAACCTACTTTACTTACAGCTGTACAGAAGAGCTTTTCTGACAGGGAACTAAACCTCCACTGCAGCGCTGCAGAGCTATATAACACACTTCATTAACATCAGATAGATTAATGATGTAACTTCAGTTCATTATGGTATCTGACCTGGCAAGTATTAAAAAAAAAATGTACTGAAAACCGGTTTGGATGCATCACTAGTGAACAGCACTGAAACAAGTTAGTAGCAGTAATTATTTATCATGTTAATAGTGCAATAACTTTGACAGCACTAATCAAATTGCTTCTTTTTTATAGTAATTAATCTATTTTGATTAAGGCTGGTACAAAAATGTACAGTGGTAACGTGATTTCGTAGTGCTGCTGCTGTGTTTATTTTGGTATGTAAAGAATGTAACATAATAAAATTACATTCTTTACGTACCAAAATACCGGTACTGGACTCGTCATCAGACTCGTTATTAGGATAATTTGCACCACTGTACAAGAGATTTTATCAGTCTGTAATGTTCTGTGTATATAATAGTTTTTATAGTATGTTTTATAGAACTTGACCCGCACATGTTCAGATGTGTACACATCCCGTCTGTTCATCTCCTGAGCCCCTTTCACACTGGCTGTTTTTATTATTATTATTATTATTATTATTATTATTATAATTATTTATTCTGTTTATTGTATTTTATTATTTGACTCTTAGTTAAATGCTTGTTATGTGAGTTCATTGTGTTAATGTCTGTTAGAAATTCAGCAGGAAGAGTCAGGAGACTGGAGCTTAGCATTGACTGGAGTTTATTTACACATACAGAGTGTGGGTATGGCGTGGTCGACCAACAGTCAGTCTGGGTTTTATTCACGTGCATGCAGAGAGTAATGCACGGGCACAGCTTGGTCATCAGTCTGTCACCCGTCCAGTCTGATGAATACATGGTCTGACATGGTTTATGTAGAGATACTGGGGGTCGGGGGAGGAAGCAAAGAGGGAGGGGAAGTAGGTGACAATCAAAAGGTAGGGGAAGAATGGGAAGGGGGTCTGGGGTCAGGGGAGACCCCAGGGGTAATTGAGGTTGTTCTCACCTCAGGGGGAACAATACAGATAAAACACCTAAAGGCACACAACTGTAAGACAAATACAGCTGACACAACAAAAAGACTACATAGGTTACAGCATAGAAGAAAGCAAACGTGAAAAGACCTAAACTTTCTCTCGTGTCGTACGTGTGACTCTTCTTCTGTGTGTAACACACTTGGTGAAATAAAGTGATTCTGATATTATTACTATTATTATTATTATTATTATTAATAATAATAATAATATAATGATATAAATATAAATAAACTTTGACCTCTAATAATTATTAAAATATAATATTTGACAATATACTCTTGATCACTGATGATAAACTGTATATGTGTGTATTTCAGGCTCGTCTGGTTTCTCTGTATTTTGACACTAAGCGCTATCAGGAGGCCCTGCAGCTCGGTGAGAACAACACAAACAATAACAACAACAATGACAACAACACAAACAACGACATAAAAGCTGAAGCTCTCTCTCTCTCTGTATCCCCTCTCTCTCTCTCTCTCTCTCTCTCTCTCTCGCTCTCTCTCTCTGTAGGCTCTCAGCTGCTTCAGGAGCTGAAGAAGTTGGATGATAAAGCTCTGCTGGTGGAGGTTCAGCTGTTGGAGAGTAAGACGTATCACGCTCTCAGTAATCTACCTAAAGCTCGTGCCGCGCTCACCTCCGCCCGGACCACCGCCAACGCCATCTACTGCCCCCCCAAATTACAGGCGGCGCTGGACATGCAGTCCGGTCAGTCAGTTAGTTGCGTTGTGCTGAGGTCAGTCAGTGACGTAGCGGTGGTGATGGTCAGTCTGTAACACTGTCCTGTGTGTAACTGCTCTCTCAGGGATCATCCACGCTGCGGAGGAGAAGGACTGGAAGACGGCGTATTCGTACTTTTACGAAGCGTTTGAAGGAAACGATTCCATCGACAGTCCACGCGCCATCACAGCGCTGAAGTACATGCTGCTGTGTAAAATCATGCTGAACGCGTAAGTTTAACCTCCGCTCATCGTTTGACTGACAGGTCTGACGTTTCGGTGTCTGAAGATGCAGCTGAATGTTGCGCTGGGATCAGATTACACAATATTTCTGTCAGATTAGACGATCATAGCGCCATAAATACGCGCTGTGTCTTGGTTGGGAGGCTGGCAGCACTCGTTCGCGTCCTTGTGCGAGTTTGTAGGTCGTCTGGGAGGCAGGTCAGTAAACTGTGATGCGGTTTGTGAAAAGAAAAGAAAGAAAAAGCGATAGTGCAGCTGTTCCTGTGGGTCAGAAGAGGACAGTACAGTCTGTCTGTCCTTCAGGGAGAACATGAGGTAACAAATGTGTTAAAATATCAAGAACATTATATAAATGTAGCCACCAGGTTCTCTGTGTGTAAACAGACACTGACTCTGTTCCTCTCCAACATTTATTGACTCTGTCATGGTTCTGCCTCGAGGAGACCTCAGAATGGCAAGGGTTCTGCTGCCACAGCTCAGAGAACCTTTCCTCTGTTTCACTGTTCCACCTTAAATCTGCAGCAGCAGCGTCTCTCTGTCTCTTCGCCGTGTTTTACAGACGTGCCCCAGTCGTCGCTCTGTCAGCCTATTGATTAACATAAAGTGACGCGCCGTACGAAACGTCAAACCAGGCAGGAAAATACAAAAAATTCTGACGTGCTAGACTTTTGGTCGGGGTGTCGTGGGCCGTCACACATTGCTGTAATTTGATGTTACTGCAAGCCCCATTCATCATTCCTGATGCTGGAAATTTTTTGGCTGCGACAGAATTTTGTTAAAATCGGGCTGAATTTGTGTCGTCTGATCCCGGCATTAAAGAATTGTAGTACATTTTACACAATCGGTCATCAATTTTACACATGGTCACTGCTGCCGTCTGTAAAATTAGTGACCGATTTCACTGATTGCTGAACAGAATCTTTCACAACAGCTCAGACCTGAACAGACAGAAACAGAACAGCAGTGATAAAGTGAAGTAATAAAAGATGTAATAATGTGTTGAACTCTTGTCGGCTCTGCAGGCCGGAGGACGTTCAGGCTCTGATCAGCGGGAAACTCGCCCTCAGATACGCCGGCAGACAGGTGCGTTAACTCGTCAAGTCGTTCCAGGTGAACCCGGGTTAGTCTGGGTCGGTCCAGCCACAGCCTGTTTACTTTGCCGCTGCTGTGCTCAGTGAAGTGTCTGCAGTCAGTGAAGTTCTCTGTTCTTGTCTGATTCTGTTTCAGACGGATGCGCTGAAATGTGTAGCCCAGGCCAGTAAGAACCGGTCACTCGCAGACTTTGAGAAGGTGAGCAGTCAGACAGACCCTGATTGTCATCAGGTTGTCTTTTCACTGTGAGATATAAGAGTTTAATTACCATTAATGTCTCTTAGTCACAGAGAGGCCACAGCGAGAGATTCTGAGTGTTGTTGTTTTTAAGCTCTTGTTCTTCCCAGCTTTTGTTCAGTAAATGAGCTTCAGTGAAACTGTGTCCGTGGTTTTCAGGCTCTGACGGATTACAGGGCGGAGCTGAGGGACGACCCCATCATCAGCACGCATTTGACCAAACTGTACGACAACTTGCTGGAGCAGAACCTCATCCGGGTCATCGAGCCCTTCTCCAGAGTGCAGGTCAGCTTTCCAACATCAAACTGGCCAAGCTGGACGTTCCAGCCGCTTCTTCCCCAAACTGGGCATGTTTGACTGCTCCTTTCCCGAACAGACGATCCCAACTGCTCCTTCCCCAAAGTGGATGTCTTTGACTGCTCTTTCCCTGAACACATGATCCCGACTGTTCATTCTTGACTGGACGTTTCCGAGTGTTTATTCCTGACTGTTCTGTTTCTGACTGTTCATTTTTGGTCTGTTGTGTTAAAGTCTGTCCAGCAGGCAGGAAAGACCTCACAGTTCTGTTTTTTTCCCGCAGATCGAACACATTTCCGGCCTCATAAAACTCTCAAAGGTGAGCAGCAGGAATCTAATGAAGGCTAATCAGGATGTTTTCCAGTAAAAAAGTTCCAGTAAAAAATGTCTGATTTCTTCCCGGAGTCAGTTCAGCTGAATCGTTACTGAGTCGCTGTAGCTGTGATTGGTGGAGTCTGATTATGTTTGTGCTTTTTTAATATTAATGTCTCCTCTTTTTCAGGGAGATGTTGAGAGGAAACTGTCACAGATGATTCTAGATAAAAAATTCCATGGTAAATATTGATTTTGATGCGTCTGATTCTGATTCTTTGAGAGTCTTTACAGAAACTGTGTAGAGATTAATAACTTTAAAAACTCAGTTCATATAATTTACACATTTAGATTGTTTAAATATAAGACATGAAAAAGTTCATGAATTTCATAATCAGTGTGATGTTTATTTAAGAAAACAGCTTTTTTTTTCAGTTTGAGACCAAACATGAGCAAAACTAACAGCGCTGATCATAATCAGGCGAATAATCTTCATTATCTGATGCGTTCTCGTCCTTCAGGGATTCTTGACCAGGGGGAAGGAGTTCTTATCGTATTTGACGAGCCGCCTGTAGATAAAACGTATGAAGCGGCTCTGGAGACCATTCAGAACATGAGCAGAGTCGTGGACTCGCTCTACAACAAAGCCAAGAAACTCACATAAGAGGTACGAGTAGCTCCGTTTACTGAGACTGTCAGCAGTGAAGAGTCTGAGAGTGGAAAACAAACTACTGACTGTTTTACTGTTTATTATTCATTAAATCTGCACTGTAAACAAAACTGATCTCATCAGTAAATCACCACCGTCATCTTCTCTGCTTTACTCAGCAGTTCTCAAACCGGACCTCAGGGCCCTCAGACGGCCCACATTCCACCCTCTAGGGGGGCGTGAGGATGGTTTTGAGCACTGCTGTCTGAAGCAGAGGGGGTTATTTAGTCACCCATGCTGCCTCTAGTGGCTGAGAGAGAAATTACACATTAAAGAGCCTGTGTGTTGGTCACAGACTGACCTGATTTCTTCTCTGATGTGGTTCTCCTCAGATTGAAGGTTGGTACCAGCAGCTGGCGGCAGGGCCGGCGTGGGGTCTGGCGTGGGGTCCCTCGGGGGGACGAGGCTGAGATGGACTAAATGGACCCAAACCCTGCGGGGACCTGCTGGAGCAGCTGCTTTTCACCCGGACATTTTGAACATTCCCTCTGGCGGACAAAATTCAGCTCCTACAGGATCAACTCTCTTCTTTCTCCCTCTTTATTTTTCTGCTCACAGTTGTTTGTATCTTGACTGCCCCCAACGGGCCATCAGGGAATATTGCGACAATAAAACGTTCACATGCATTATGATTCTAAATGAAATGTATATATTCATAGATCTCGCGCTGACACATGGACGATCCACACTGTTGCCAACCTGAGGGCCGATCTTTTTGGCCATGGACCACAGTCCCGCCCCCCCAACCCCCCCTTCCCCACCACAACCACCCTCCCATGTGTTACTGCAGGACCTGTTTGAGCCCATCGGCCCTCCTTCTTTCTGAAGGGCGGCATTCTGGGCGTTCTGTTTTGGCGGGGCAGAAGAGTGGAGGGAAACACCTGAACTGCCCCAACTCACACACACACACACCCCCCCATTTGTAAATATCGTTGCCAAGCGCCTGCCATGCTGTCACGCCTTTTTTATAACGCTAAGAACAAAATAAAGTCACGAAGAGAACGCTGTACGGAGTGTGTGCCTGTTGATAAACATGATCATTTAAGTCTTATTTATTAGTTTGGACTTGTTTATTGAATCTTTGCGTTTTGGTCTTGATGGTAAAAACGGGTGAGTGTTACGCTGTAAGTATTATTTTATTGTAAGTGTGTATTTAGTGTTCTCTGCAGCAGTGTTTATTAAGCGGGCAGTAAACTTCAAACAAATAATGTTTTGGCCGTAACGGTGTGATGGTTTGAGCACAGTGTTGTTTGTACTGCTCACTAATCACAACTTCTAAAGCCGACGCTTTAAACAATCGGAGAACTAAATAACGTCAAACTTCTGTCGAACACGCTGACATAAATACACTTACACTTGATGTTCATCTCAGCTCTGCTAGAGGCTTCCTACAGATTCAGTTTCACCATGAGGACCAATCACAGTGAAGAGGAGGTCTCAGGCTGTGGTTAGGACCAATCCCAGGCAGGGGGAGGGCTCAGGCTGTGGTTAGGACCAATCTCAGTCAGGGGGAGGACTCAGGCTGTGGTCAGGACCAATCACAGTGAGGGGGAGGACTCAGGCTGTGGTCAGGACCAATCACAGTGAGGGGGAGGACTCAGGCTGTGGTCAGGACCAATCACAGTGAGGGGGAGGACTCAGGCTGTGGTCAGGACCAATCACAGTGAGGGGGAGGACTCAGGCTGTGGTTAGGACCAATTCCAGCCAGGCTTATGTTCTTCAAAACATCATTTTAATTCTAAGTATCACTGCTGGCTTAATCACTTGTTGTTGGTTCTGGCCCACCCCCTGACCGTGATTGGTCCACCTGGTGTCACAGGGTTGGTTCATCACTGTGTGGAGCCTGTAGCAGAGCTGAGATGTTGCATAGTCAAAGTGGATTTTCCACAGCATGTTTGGCTGCAGTTTGGTTTTGTTGAGCTGTTTGAAGTTTGGCTGTAATTCTGCTGGCGACTTTCAGCTCAATTCACCTGTTCTGACCAGCATACCTGACCAGCACACCTGACCACCTGAAATTTCTTCTTAAACCCACTTGCGCAGGTCTGACGAAGACTCTGTCATTCACCAATGTTCTCTTATGTGGGATTTGAAAGAACAGAATCTACACACACTCGAGAGCACAAAGGTGAGAACAGTTCTGCGCTTTAAGAACACGTCATGAATCTGACGCAGACTTTTCTCAGGATCTTTATCAAGAACACACTTAATAACAAACTTAGGACACTGGAGAAGGAGGCCCGGAGATTCTGTGCTTTCCAAAGTTAACTGAACCCGTTACTGTGAGAGTGTGTATTTTATAAAATCAGGACGACTCGCAGGAAGTGACATCATGGGATGAAAGTCTAAAATAAACTGTTTTCTTCATTACCGATCAGCTCAGTCACTTTAATACGTATCAATGTGTTAAATTTCCACACAATAACAATGTGTGATGGTCCTGTAACAGATCTGATCAGCTTACTGATCTGTGAGTGTGTGTGTGGTCTGTGAGTGTGTGTGTCTGTCGTGTGTGTGTGGATCAGCGGTCTTCACTGTGGTCCTTGGGGTCCAGCATCCAGAACAGGTCTGAAATTTACCTGCTTAAACACCTGATTGAGTCACCTGTGACCACTGCGTGATTTTTGAGTGGATCAGTCGCTGAACTGTGCAGGTTGGCGGACCCCCAGCACCAGAGAGCAAGACCCCCAGTGAAGAGAACAGAACACTATAGTACTATATAGGATACAGAACCGCTGTTCTAGATCAGGTATTCCCAGTTTCGGTTCTGGAGGTTCCAGACTCTGCACTCATTGGTTGATGGGGTTGATCAGGTTTGCTGGATGACACGAAGCTCAAACGAGAGCACACTGGTTTCTCCAGGACTGGGCTCGAGAACATTCGTTCTCCAACTGGTCCAGAGAGTCTCTGATGGTCAGCACACCTGCAGCAGGTGTTCAGTGTTCTTACAGCCTCAGTTCAGGGGTGTTTGGAGCTGGTTAGGGTACAGCAGCAGAACTGTGAGGACCAGTTTGAGAACCGCTGCTCTGAAGGACCGGTTCTCTTTCCTGCTGCTGTTTCACTGTTTATCTCATTCAGTTTATGTTTATTTTTATACAGTAATTATCGTCAGAGTGACTGTTAGAAGAAAATCAGTCAGTCTGATTGTTTATTATCGATGAAACTGATAAATTTTTACTAAGATAAAAACGCTGAGCCAGTTTCTGCCGCAGGGGTCATCACCACCAAAGACCTCCTCGCCGTCTCCTACTGCATTACCGGTCCCCCATGCTGAACCTTGCGGTTCCTCATGGTCCCCACACGTTGCTTTTTCGGGCTGAGCCTGACAACGAGTAGAGCCGCTACTCCTCCACACTAAGAGGAGCCAGTTCAGGTGGTCTGGGCATCTGATCAGGATGCCCCCCTGGTCGCCTGCTGTTGGAGGTTTACCAGGCACGGCCAACTGGGACGAGACCCCGAGGTCGTCCCAGGACCCGCTGGTTTGGAGTATGCAATGAAGAGATCCGGACGCTGTAACGTTTCAGCAGATCAGGAGGATCTGCAGCTCTAACATTCACAGCTTTAAATCTCAGAAAGAGCCTCGCAGTGGATGCAGCACTGAACCGTGTGACCTGAGTAAGAGCTCCATAATACACTCAGACAATCTTCTCCTGGGAGCTCACAGAGCTGCTGCGCTCTGAACTGGAGCTGATTCAGACAGACAGCAGAGCCACTTCTTATTTAGGATTCTCAACTAACAAAACTTAGAGACATTACTGATATAATAAACCAGCATCCAGTGTTACACCAATGACTTTAACTCCCTCCAGGACCCTCTGCAGTTCACAGGTACAGCCTACAGGTTCTGTAGATGATGCTGTGACTTTGGTTCTCTACCACATCCTGCAGTGCCTGGACGATCCTAACACTTCTGCTTTCAACACCATCATTTCTGACCTTCTACTGGATAAACTGTGGCAGGTCAGTGTCCCCCATCTGTCTGGTACTGGATCCACAACTTCTTGCTGAATAGAACACAGTATGTACGGGTGAGTGACCACATTTCGGACACTCTCTGTCTCAGCACTGGGGCTCCACAGGGCCGTGTGCTCCCTCTCCTGCTCTTCTCTCTACACCAGTGACTGCACTTCTGATAACAGAAAAAAACCCCCACAAAAACAGTGTGCTGCCGCTGAGGGCGCTGTGTCAGTGAGCGGGTGTAATTACAGCATGCTGCCGCTGAGGGCGCTGTGTCAGTGAGCGGGTGTAATTACAGTGTGCTGCCGCTGAGGGCGCTGTGTCAGTGAGCGGGTGTAATTACAGCATGCTGCCGCTGAGGGCGCTGTGTCAGTGAGCGGGTGTAATTACAGTGTGCTGCGGCTAGGGGGGCGCTGTGTGGGTGAGTGGGTGTAATTACAGTGTGCTGCCTCTGAGGGTGCTGTATCAGTGAGTGGGTGTAATTACAGTGTGCTGCCGCTGAGGGCGCTGTGTCAGTGAGTGGGTGTAATCATAGTGTGCTGCGGCTGAGGGCGCTGTGTGGGTGAACGGGTGTAATTACAGTGTGCTGCCGCTGAGGGCGCTGTGTCAGTGAGCGGGTGTAATTACAGTATGCTGCCGCTGAGGGCGCTGTGTGGGTGAGCGGGTGTAATTACATTGTGCTGCGGCTGAGGGCGCTGTGTGGGTGAGTGGGTGTAATTACAATGTGCTGCCTCTGAGGGTGCTGTATCAGTGAGTGGGTGTAATTACAGTGTGCTGCCGCTGAGGGCGCTGTGTCAGTGAGTGGGTGTAATCATAGTGTGCTGTCGCTGAGGGCGCTGTGTGGGTGAGCGGGTGTAATTACATTGTACTGCCGCTGAGGGCGCTGTGTGGGTGAGTGGGTGTAATTACAGTGTGCTGCGGCTGAGGGCGCTGTGTGGGTGAGTGGGTGTAATTACAGTGTGCTGCCTCTGAGGGTGCTGTATCAGTGAGTGGGTGTAATTACAGCGTGCTGCCGCTGAGGGCGCTGTGTCAGTGAGTGGGTGTAATTATAGTGTGCTGCGGCTGAGGGCGCTGTGTGGGTGAGCGGGTGTAATTACATTGTGCTGCCGCTGAGGGCGCTGTGTGGGTGAGTGGGTGTAATTACAGAGTGCTGCCGCTGAGGGCGCTGTGTGGGTGAGCGGGTGTAATTACAGTGTGCTGCCGCTGATGGCGCTGTATCAGTGAGCGGGTGTAATTACAGTGTGCTGCCGCTGAGGGCGCTGTGTCAGTGAGCGGGTGTAATTACAGTGTGCGGCCGCTGGGGGCGCTGTGTGTGAGGGCGCTGCTGTCCGCGGTGCTGAATCTCTTTTTTCTGCGGCGGCGGCGGAGCGCGAGCACACGCGACCATGGCGACCCGGGTAAGAAATGCGCAGTTTGACCGTTTAATAAATCGGTCGGTGAATAATCTGATGATGTAACGACGCGCGCGCGATGATAAAGTCGAGCTGTGTGTTTATAGCTGTGGCGGAAAACGGGTGGGTTTTACATTCGGTGAATCTGCGTTAGCTCTGTGTTAAAGGAGTGAACGGGAGGGCGCTGGTGAAGCTCGCGCTGGTGCTGATGGGGGGGTTAGTGGTGTCCGAAGGCACGCGCTGGTGCCGAAGGTGTTGATCGAAGCGTTTCTCTCGGTTAACCTTCACGAGACTTAAGGGAGCCTCTCCATTCTGGGGCTTCTCGTTCGATTTTTCCGTTCCACCTTAAATGGTGCAGCAGTTACATTCTGGCGCCTCAGGCTCTGCTGCAGTAACTGCTGCACCATTTAAGGTGGAACGGAAAATTGGAATGAGAAGCTGGATAATGCTGGAAAAAAAAGAAAAAATCAGCGAGCCTCAGAGCGCGAGCTCTCCGTTCACTCTGCTCCACATCACGCTGCTGGGCCCGCGCTCGTGCGCGTGGGT